AGAGAGATGGGGAGACACACACACACAGGGACACACACACACACAGGGACACACACACACACAGGGACACACACACACAGGGACACACACACACAGGGACACACACACACACAGTGACACACACACAGGGACACACACACACACAGGGACACACACACACAGGGACACACACAGGGACACACACACAGGGACACACACACACAGGGACACACACACACAGGGACACACACACAGGGACACGCAGGGACACACGCAGGGACACACACACACACAGGGACACACACACAGGGACACACACACACACAGGGACACACGCACAGGGACACGCCTGTCTCTGTGTGTGTGTCCCTGTGCGTCTCCCCACATGTCCCTGTGTCTCCCCGTGTCTCCCCATGTGTCCCTGTGTCTCCCCACGTGTACCTGTGTGTCTCCCCGCGTGTGTCTCCCCGCGTCTCTCCCCGCGTGTCTCTCCCTGCGTGTCTCTCCCCGTGTCTCCCCGCGTGTCTCCCCACGTGTCCCTGTGTCTCCCCCCATGTCTCCCCACGTGTCTCCCCGTGTCTCTCCCCGCGTGTCTCCCCACGTGTCTCCCCACGTGTCTCCCCGTGTCTCACCACGTGTCTCTCCCCGTGTCTCCCCTCGTGTCTCTCCCCGCGTGTCTCTCCCCATGTCTCCCCGCGTGTCTCCCTACGTCTCTCCCCGCGTGTCTCCCCGTGTCTCTCCCCGTGTCTCTCCCCGCGTGTCTCCCCACGTGTCTCCCCGTGTCTCTCCCCGTGTCTCTCCTCGCGTGTCTCCCCGTGTCTCTCCCCGTGTCTCTCCCCGCGTGTCTCCCCACGTGTCTCCCCGTGTCTCTCCCCGTGTCTCTCCTCGCGTGTCTCCCCGTGTCTCTCCCCGTGTCTCTCCCCGCGTGTCTCCCCACGTGTCTCCCCGCGTGTCTCCCCGCGTGTCTCACTGTCTCTGTGTGCCTCTCCCCGCATGCCCCCCGCCGTACTGGGTGCAGGTTCGACTCCCTGCACGGGGGCGGTGCGACCCAGGAGGAGGTTTACGGGGGCTCGGTGCGCCCGGTGATCCGGCACGTGGTGCGGCACGGACACAATGCCAGCGTGCTGGCCTACGGCCCCACCGGCGCCGGTACTCACTCACTCACTAGTTTACTCACTAGTTTACTCACTAGTTTACTCACTAGTTTACTCACTAGTTTACTAGTTTACTCACTCACTAGTTTACTCACTAGTTTACTCACTAGTTTACTAGTTTACTCACTCACTCACTAGTTTACTCACTAGTTTACTCACTCACTAGTTTACTCACTAGTTTACTCACTAGTTTACTCACTCACTAGTTTACTCACTAGTTTACTCACTAGTTTACTCACTACTAGTTTACTCACTACTATACTCACTCACTAGTTTACTCACTAGTTTACTCACTAGTTTACTAGTTTACTCACTCACTCACTAGTTTACTCACTAGTTTACTCACTCACTAGTTTACTCACTAGTTTACTCACTCACTAGTTTACTCACTAGTTTACTCACTACTAGTTTACTCACTACTATACTCACTCACTAGTTTACTCACTAGTTTACTCACTAGTTTACTCACTACTAGTTTACTCACTACTATACTCACTCACTAGTTTACTCACTAGTTTACTCACTACTACTATACTCACTAGTTTACTCACTAGTTTACTCACTACTAGTTTACTCACTACTATACTCACTCACTAGTTTACTCACTAGTTTACTCACTACTAGTTTACTCACTACTATACTCACTCACTAGTTTACTCACTAGTTTACTCACTCACTAGTTTACTCACTAGTTTACTCACTAGTTTACTCACTCACTAGTTTACTCATTAGTTTACTCACTAGTTTACTCACTAGTTTACTAGTTACTCACTCACTAGTTTACTCACTAGTTTACTCACTAGTTTACTCACTCACTAGTTTACTCACTAGTTTACTCACTAGTTTACTCACTAGTTTACTAGTTTACTCACTCACTCACTAGTTTACTCACTCACTAGTTTACTCACTAGTTTACTCACTCACTAGTTTACTCACTAGTTTACTCACTAGTTTACTCACTACTAGTTTACTCACTACTATACTCACTCACTAGTTTACTCACTAGTTTACTCACTAGTTTACTCACTACTAGTTTACTCACTACTATACTCACTCACTAGTTTACTCACTAGTTTACTCACTACTACTATACTCACTAGTTTACTCACTACTAGTTTACTCACTACTATACTCACTCACTAGTTTACTCACTAGTTTACTCACTACTAGTTTACTCACTACTATACTCACTCACTAGTTTACTCACTAGTTTACTCACTCACTAGTTTACTCACTAGTTTACTCACTAGTTTACTCACTCACTAGTTTACTCACTAGTTTACTCACTAGTTTACTAGTTTACTCACTCACTAGTTTACTCACTAGTTTACTCACTAGTTTACTCACTCACTCACTAGTTTACTCACTAGTTTACTCACTAGTTTACTCACTCACTCACTAGTTTACTTACTAGTTTACTCACTAGTTTACTCACTAGTTTACTCACTCACTCACTAGTTTACTCACTAGTTTACTCGCTAGTTTACTCACTCACTCACTCACTAGTTTACTTACTAGTTTACTCACTAGTTTACTCACTAGTTTACTCACTCACTAGTTTACTCACTAGTTTACTCACTCGCTCACTCACTAGTTTACTCACTAGTTTACTCACTAGTTTACTAGTTTACTCACTCACTCACTAGTTTACTCACTAGTTTACTCACTAGTTTACTCACTCACTCACTAGTTTACTCACTAGTTTACTCGCTAGTTTACTCGCTAGTTTACTCGCTAGTTTACTCACTAGTTTACTCACTCACTCACTAGTTTACTCACTAGTTTACTCACTAGTTTACTCACTAGTTTACTCACTAGTATACTCACTCACTAGTATACTCACTCACTAGTTTACTCACTAGTTTACTCACTAGTATACTCACTCACTAGTTTACTCACTAGTTTACTCACTCACTAGTTTACTCACTAGTTTACTCACTAGTTTACTCACTAGTTTACTCACTCACTAGTTTACTCACTAGTTTACTCACTAGTTTACTCACTAGTATACTCACTAGTATACTCACTCACTAGTTTACTCACTCACTCACTAGTTTACTCACTAGTTTACTCACTAGTTTACTCACTAGTATACTCACTCACTAGTTTACTCACTAGTTTACTCACTCACTCACTCACTAGTATACTCACTCACATGCCTGTGAGTGAGTATACTCACTCACATGCCTGTGAGTGAGTATACTCACTCACGTGCCTCTCCCCGTGTCCCCGCGCGCCTCCAGGCAAGACCCACACGATGCTGGGCACCCCCAGTGAGCCAGGCGTGATCCCCCGTGCCGTCCGCGATCTGTTCAGCGACCTCAAGGGGGAGCAGGAGGAGTCCTCGTTCAGTGTCTCCATGTCATACCTGGAGATCTACCAGGAGAAGGTGAGGAGGGCACCGGGGGAGGCGTGGGGGTACGGGTGCCAGGGCTGGTCACTCCGCACCACCACAGCGGCACACTCGCCCACACACTCGGGCAGTCACTCAGTCACTCACTCAACCACTCAGTCACTCAGTCACTCACCCAACCACCCACTCACTCACTCACTCACACACTCACCCACCTACTCACCCACTCACTCAACCATTCACCCACTCGCCCACCTACTCGCCCACTCACTCACTCACTTAACCACTCACTCACGCACTCAGTCACCCACTCACCCACTCACTCACCCACTCACCCACCCACTCACCCAATCACTCACCCACCCACTCACTCACTCACTCACCCACTCCCCCACCCACTCCCTCACCCACTCACTCTCTCTCTCTTTCACTCACTCACCCACTCACCCACTCACCCACTCACTCACCCACTCACTCACTCACCCACTCACTCACCTACTCTCTCTCTCACTCACTCACCCACCCACCCACCTACTCCCCCACCCACTCACTCAACCACTCACTCACTCACCCACCCACCCACTCCCCCACCCAATCACTCACTCACCCACTCACTCACTCACTCACCCACTCACTCACCCACTCCCCCACTCACTCACCCACTCCCCCACTCACTCACCCACTCACTCACCCACTCACTCACTCACCCACCCACTCACCCACTCACTCACCCACTCACTCTCTCTCTCTTTCACTCACTCACCCACTCACCCACTCACCCACTCAACCACTCACTCACTCACCCACCCACCCACTCCCCCACCCAATCACTCACTCACCCACTCACTCACTCACTCACCCACTCCCCCACTCACTCACCCACTCCCCCACTCACTCACCCACTTACTCACCCACTCACTCACTCACCCACCCACTCACCCACTCACTCACCCACCCACTCACTCACCCACCCACCCTCTCTCTCTATCTCTCACACACTCACCCTCCCACCCACTCACTCACCCACTCACCCACTCACCCACCCACTCACCCACTCACTCACCCACTCACCCACTCACTCACTCACTCACCCACTCCCCCACCCACCCACTCACCCACTCACTCGCTCACTCACCCACCCACCCACTCACTCACCCAATCACTCACTCACTCTCTCTCTATCTCTCACACACTCACCCTCCCACCCACCCACACCTCTCACCTCCCCACCCACCCACCCACCCACCCCACCCACCCACTCCCCCACCCACTCCCCCACCCACCCACTCACTCACCCACCCACCCACTCACTCACCCACTCACCCACCCACTCTCCCACCCACCCACTCACCCACCCTCCCACCCACTCCCCCACCCTCCCACCCACCTCCCCCACCACCACCAGGTACTCGACCTCCTCATCCCGCAGCACGGCGGTGGTGGCAGGAGCGGCGGCAGGAGCGGCGGTGGCGGTGGTGGCGGTGGTGGCGGTGGTGGCGGTGGTGGTGGCGGTGGTGGTGTTGGTGGTGGTGGCGGTGTTGGCGGTGGTGGTGGTGGCGGTGGTGGTGGTGGTGGCGGGGACCTGGCCATCCGCCAGGACGGCGCCGGCTCCATGCTCGTGCCGGGTCTGAGCGAGCGGCCGCTCTCCGGATTCCGTGACTTTGAGCGCCACTTCCTGCCTGCCACGGAGCGCCGCACGACGGCGTCCACGGCCCTCAACGCCCGCTCCAGCCGCTCGCACTCCATCCTGCTGCTCAAGGCCAGCGGGGGGGGTGGAGGGGGTGGTGGTGGAGGGGGTGGGTGAGGGGGTGAGGGAGGAGGGGGGTGAGGGGAGGGGGTGAGGAGTTGATTGTGAGGGAGCGGGGAAGGAGGGTGAGGAGGAGAGGGGGTGAGGAGGTGAGGGGGGTGAGGGAGGTGGTGAGGAGGAGGGGGTGAGGGGGGTGGTGAGGGTGAGAGGGTGAGGGGGGGGGTGAGGAGTTGATTGTGAGGGAGAGGGCGAGGGGGGAGAGGGTGAGGAGGAGAGGGGGGTGAGGAGGTGAGGAGGTGAGGGGGGTGAGGGGGGTGGTGAGGAGTTGATTGTGAGGGCGAGGGTGAGGAGGAGAGGGGGTGAGGGGGGTGAGGAGGTGAGGAGGTGAGGGGGGTGAGGGGGGTGGTGAGGAGTTGATTGTGAGGGCGAGGGTGAGGGGGTGAGGGGGTGGTGAGGGTGAGGGGGTGAGAGGGTGAGGGGGGGTGAGGAGTTGATTGTGAGGGAGAGGGCGAGGGGGGAGAGGGTGAGGAGGAGAGGGGGGTGAGGAGGTGAGGAAGGGTGAGGAGTTGATTGTGAGGGCGAGGGTGAGGAGGAGAGGGGGTGAGGGGGGTGAGGAGGTGAGGGGGTGGGTGAGGAGTTGATTGTGAGGGAGTGGGAGAGGGTGAGGAGGTGAGGGGGTGAGGGGGGTGAGGAGGTGATTGTGAGGGAGAGGGCGAGCGGGAGGGGGAGAGGGTGAGAAGGAGTTGTGTGCGTGCGTGTGTGTGCGTACGTGCGTACGTGTGTACGTTTGTGTGTGTGTGCGTGTGTGTGCGTGTGTGTACGTGTGTGTACGTGTGTGTGTGTACGTGTGTGTGTGTGTACGTGGTGGTGACCGGCTTCGGTTTGACAGCAGAGGTCTCACTCCGAATCAGTCGAGCGGCAATATCTTTTCATCGGTTGCGTAACGCTGTGTGGAAGCTACCTGGTCTGTCGCTCCGCACTAAGCTTCAGGTCTTCTCGGCCACAGTGATTTCCTCCCTTCTCTACGCCAGTTAGAAACAGTTAGGCTGGCCTGCCTACGATCCATCCTGGGTTTAACCAGGCTGGATTGTGTGAGGAGCTCACAAATCCTTGAAAGATCTGGGCAAGGTCCCATCGGTGAGCTCCTCCGGCGGGCAAGGCTGCGTTGGCTGGGTCATGTAGCCCGCATGCTCAGCCACCGCATGCTGAAACAGCTTTTGTTCGGCCGGATCGAGGGGGCTAAACGGGCGTGGCATGGGCTAGAGAAGAGATGGAGTGATGTGGTACAGGAGGACGTGGAGCTGAGTGGACTTGCCCATGACCTGTACCAGCAGTGTCAAGATTGGCCTCTGGAGGAGGCTCGTGAAGGATGCTGCTAGGCAGTTGGCATTCGCCCTCCAACAACAACGGAGGGCGGAGGAGCGACGCTCACAACAACGAGCGGAGCGCCGGGTGGCTAAAGCACAGCAGGTTGGCACAGTAGGGGGCACAGGTGGTGCATCAGCCAGTCATCTCAGTCAGTCGACCCGTGGCACCTGGGTCTGCCCCGTGACCTCCTGCCAGCGGGCGTTCGACACTTCACGTGGCCTCAAGGTGCACATGGCCTGGCACAAGCGTCGTGGTGACATCACCGCCACTTAGTGGCGAATGGCGGTTGTTGTTGGTGTGTGTGTGTACCTGTGTGTGTAACTATGTGTGTGTTCCTGTGTGTGTGTGTAACTGTGTGTGTGTAACTGTGTGTGTACCTGTGTGTGTACTTGTGTGTCTGTGTGTAACTGTGTGTGTGTAACTGTGTGTGTGTACGTGTGTGTGTAACTGTGTGTGTGTGTGTAACTGTGTGTGTGTAACTGTGTGTGTGTACGTGTGTGTGTAACTGTGTGTGTGTGTAACTGTGTGTGTGTGTACCAGTGTGTGTGTACCTGTGTGTGTAACTGTGTGTGTGTGTACCTGTGTGTGTGTGTACCTGTGTGTGTGTGTAACTGTGTGTGTGTAACTGTGTGTGTGTGTAACTGTGTGTGTAACTGTGTGTGTGTGTGTAACTGTGTGTGTAACTGTGTGTGTGTAACTGTGTGTACGTGTGTGTGTAACTGTGTGTAACTGTGTGTGTGTGTGTGTATGTAACTGTGTGTGTGTGTAACTGCGTGTGTAACTGTGTGTGTACCTGTGTGTGTGTGTGTGTAACTGTGTGTGTACCTGTGTGTGTGTGTGTATGTACCTGTGTGTGTGTGTAACTGTGTGTATGTAACTGTGTGTGTACCTGTGTGTAACTGTGTGTGTGTAACTGTGTGTGTACCTGTGTGTGTGTGTGTAACTGCGTGTGTGTGTGTGTACCTGTGTGTGTACCTGTGTGTGTGTAACTGTGTGTGTACCTGTGTGTGTGTGTACCTGTGTGTGTGTGTACCTGTGTGTGTGTGTAACTGTGTGTGTACGTGTGTGTGTAACTGTGTGTGTACCTGTGTGTGTGTGTACCTGTGTGTGTAACTGTGTGTGTGTGTGTACCTGTGTGTGTGTGTACCTGTGTGTGTGTGTAACTGTGTGTGTGTACCTGTGTGTGTGTGTACCTGTGTGTGTGTGTGTGTACCTGTGTGTGTGTGTGTAACTGTGTGTAACTGTGTGTGTACCTGTGTGTGTGTGTAACTGTGTGTGTGTACCTGTGTGTGTGTGTGTAACTGTGTGTGTGTACCTGTGTGTGTGTGTGTAACTGTGTGTAACTGTGTGTGTGTACCTGTGTGTGTGTGTAACTGTGTGTGTGTACCTGTGTGTGTGTGTAACTGTGTGTGTGTACCTGTGTGTGTGTGTAACTGTGTATCTAACTGTGTGTGTGTGTAACTGTGTGTACCTGTGTGTGTGTGTGTGTAACTGTGTGTGTAACTGTGTGTACCTGTGTGTGTACCTGTGTGTGTAACTGTGTGTGTAACTGTGTAACTGTGTGTGTGTGTGTAACTGTGTGTAACTGTGTGTGTGTGTAACTGTGTATCTAACTGTGTGTGTAACTGTGTGTGTACCTGTGTGTGTGTACCTGTGTGTGTGTGTACCTGTGTGTGTGTGTGGTGAGACAGGTGGTAAAGTCAGAACAGCGGGCACCATACCGCACGCTGCTAGGCAAGCTCTACCTCATCGACCTCGCCGGATCCGAGGACAACCGGCGCACCGGCAACATGGGCATCCGGTCGGTGGCACACCGCGGCAGTGGCACACGTGGGGGTGACACACACACACACACACGTGGGGGTGACACACACACACACGTGGGAGTGACACACACACACACACGTGGGAGTGACACACACACACACACACGTGGGGGTGACACACACACACACACGTGGGGGTGACACACACACACACACACACGTGGGGGTGACACACACACACACACGTGGGAGTGACACACACACGTGGGGGTGACACACACACACACACGTGGGGGTGACACACACACACACGTGGGAGTGACACACACACACACACACACGTGGGGGTGACACACACACACACGTGGGAGTGACACACACACACACACACACGTGGGAGTGACACACACACACACACGTGGGAGTGACACACACACACACACACGTGGGAGTGACACACACACACACACACGTGGGAGTGACACACACACACACACGTGGGAGTGACACACACACACACGTGGGAGTAACACACACACACACACACGTGGGAGTGACACACACACACACACGTGGGGGTGACACACACACACACGTGGGAGTGACACACACACACACACACACGTGGGAGTGACACACACACACACACACGTGGGGGTGACACACACATACACACACACGTGGGAGTGACACACACACACACTTGGGGGTGACACACACACACACGTGGGGGTGACACACACACACACACGTGGTAGTGACACACACACACACACGTGGGAGTGACACACACACACACACACGTGGTAGTGACACACACACACACACGTGGGAGTGACACACACACACACGTGGGAGTGACACACACACACACTTGGGGGTGACACACACACACACGTGGGAGTGACACACACACACGTGGGAGTGACACACACACACACGTGGGGGTGACACACACACACACACGTTGGAGTGACACACACACACACGTGGGAGTGACACACACACGTGGGAGTGACACACACACACACGTGGGAGTGACACACACACACACACTTGGGGGTGACACACACACACACGTGGGAGTGACACACACACACGTGGGAGTGACACACACACGTGGGAGTGACACACACACACACTTGGGGGTGACACACACACGTGGGAGTGACACACACACACACTTGGGGGTGACACACACACACACACGTGGGAGTGACACACACACACACGTGGGAGTGACACACACACACACGTGGGAGTGACACACACACACACGTGGGAGTGACACACACACGTGGGAGTGACACACACACACACACGTGGGAGTGACACACACACACACACACGTGGGAGTGACACACACACACACGTGGGAGTGACACACACACACACGTGGGAGTGACACACACACACACACACGTGGTAGTGACACACACACACGTGGGAGTGACACACACACACACGTGGGAGTGACACACACACACACACACGTGGTAGTGACACACACACACGTGGTAGTGACACACACACACACACGTGGGGGTGACACACACACACACACACGTGGTAGTGACACACACACACACACGTGGGAGTGACACACACACACGTGGGAGTGACACACACACACACACGTGGGAGTGAAACACACACACACACGTGGGAGTGACACACACACACGTGGGGGTGACACACACACACGTGGGAGTGACACACACGCACGTGGGGGTGACACACACACACACACGTGGGAGTGACACACACACACACGTGGGAGTGACACACACACGTGGGAGTCACACACACACACGTGGGAGTAACACACACACACACTTGGGAGTGACACACACACACACGTGGGAGTGACACACAAAGATACAAAGACAAAGATCCCCCATATAGCCTTAACAGACTGTAGGGGCAAGTGCTGTTAGCGAGCACCTATGAAGGCCGGAACGGTACACGAGGGGGTGGGTGGCCAGCACCACGCCCGACCGCCTTTGTCTCCCCAGTGGCGATGTTTACTACACACCTCACCAGGTACTCATTTGATGCCGAGTCGACCTAGGGGAGGCCCGGGACCGGTTCAGATAATCGTCACTGGTGTTGGCCGTGAGCGGGAATCGAACCCGGGTCGCCAGGTTCATAGCGCAGCGCGCTAACCGCTACACTACCGCTCCCCACACACACACACACACGTGAGAGTGACACACACACACACGTGAGAGTGACACACACACACACACACGTGGGAGTGACACACACACACGTGAGAGTGACACACACACACGTGGGAGTGACACACACACACGTAGTGACACACACACACACACGTGAGAGTGACACACACACACACAAACACACACACACGTGGGAGTGACACACACACACACACACACGTGGGAGTGACACACACACACACGTGGGAGTGACACACACACACACACACGTGGTAGTGACACACACACACACACGTGGTAGTGACACACACACACACGTGGGAGTGACACACACACACACGTGGTAGTGACACACACACACGTGGGAGTGACACACACACACACACACACGTGGGAGTGACACACACACACACGTGGGAGTGACACACACACACACACGTGGGAGTGACACACACACACATGCATATGTGTCTGTGTGTGTGTCAGTGTGTCTGTGTGTGTCTCAGTGTGTCTGTGTGTGTCTCTCTCTGTGTGTCTCTGTGTATGTCTCGGTGTCTGTGTGTCTGTGCGTGTCTCAGTGTGTCTGTGTATGTGTGTCTCTGTGTGTCTCGGTGTGTGTCTGTGGGTGTCTGTGTGTGTATCTGTGTGTCTGTATATCTGTCTGTGGGTGTCTGTGTGTGTGTCAGTGTGTCTGTGTGTGTTTGTCTCTGTGTGTGTCTCAGTGTGTGTGTGTCTGTGGGTGTGTGTGTGTCTGTGGGTGTCTGTGTGTATATCTCTGTGTCTGTGTGTGTCTGTGTGTGTGTGTCTCGGTGTGTGTGTGTCTGTGGGTGTCTGTGTGTCTGTATATCTGTGTGTGTGTGTCTGTGTGTGTCAGTGTGTCTGTGTGTGTTTGTCTCTGTGTGTGTCTCAGTGTGTGTGTGTCTGGGGGTGTGTGTGTGTCTGTGGGTGTCTGTGTGTATATCTGTGTGTCTGTGTGTGTCTGTGTGTGTGTGTGTCTCAGTGTGTGTGTCTGTGTGTGTCAGTGTGTGTGTCTGTGTGTGTGTGTCTCAGTGTGTGTGTCTGTGTGTGTGTCACTGTGTGTGTCTGTGTGTGTGTGTGTCTCTGTGTGTGTGTGTGTCTCAGTGTGTGTGTCACTGTGTGTGTCACTGTGTGTGTGTCACTGTGTGTCTCAGTGTGTGTGTGTGTGTCTGTGTGTGTGTGTCTCAGTGTGTGTGTCACTGTGTGTGTGTCACTGTGTCTGTGTGTGTGTGTCACTGTGTGTGTGTGTCTCAGTGTGTGTGTGTGTCTCTGTGTGTGTGTGTCTCAGTGTGTGTGTGTGTCTCAGTGTGTGTGTGTGTGTCTCTGTGTGTGTCACTGTGTGTGTCACTGTGTGTGTGTCTCAGTGTGTGTGTCACTGTGTGTGTGTGTGTCTGTGTGTGTGTCACTGTGTGTGTGTCACTGTGTGTGTGTCACTGTGTGTGTGTGTCTGTGTGTGTGTCACTGTGTGTGTGTCTCACTGTGTGTGTCACTGTGTGTGTCACTGTGTCTGTGTGTGTCACTGTGTGTGTGTCACTGTGTGTGTGTGTCTGTGTGTGTGTCACTGTGTGTGTGTCTCACTGTGTGTGTCACTGTGTGTGTCACTGTGTCTGTGTGTGTCACTGTGTGAGCCAGGCTCAAGGAGAGTGGCGCCATAAACGGCTCTCTGCTCGTGCTGAGCAAGGTGGTGGACGCCCTCAACAGCGGCTCCGCACGAGTCCCGTTCAGGGACAGCAAACTAACGCGACTGCTGCAGGTCCCCTCCCTTCCCTGTGTGTCACTGTGTCAGTGTGATTGTGTCACTGTGTGTGTGTGTCACTGTGTGTGTGTCAGTGTGAGTGTGTCACTGTGTGTGTGTGTCACTGTGTGTGTCACTGTGTGTGTGTGTGTCACTGTGTGTGTGTCACTGTGTGTGTGTGTCACTGTGTGTGTGTGTCACTGTGTGTGTGTCACTGTGTGTGTGTGTCACTGTGTGTGTGTGTCTCACTGTGTGTCACTGTGTGTGTGTGTCACTGTGTGTGTGTCTCACTGTGTGTGTCACTGTGTGTGTCAGTGTGTGAGTAGGTGAGTAGGTGAGTGAGTGAGTAGGTGAGTGTGTGAGTTAGTAGGTGAGCAAGTGAGTAGGTGAGTGTGTGAGTGAGTGAGTAGGTGAGTGAGTAGGTGAGTGAGTAGGTGAGTGAGTAGGTGAGTGAGTAGGTGAGTGAGTTGGTGAGTGAGTTGGTGAGTAGGTGATTGAGTAGGTGAGTGAGTTGGTGAGTGAGTGAGTAGGTGAGTGAGTTGGTGAGTAGGTGAGTGAGTGTGTGAGTGAGTGTGTGAGTGAGTAGGTGAGTGAGTAGGTGAGTGAGTAGGTGAGTGAGTTGGTGAGTAGGTGAGTGAGTTGGTGAGTGAGTTGGTGAGTAGGTGAGTGAGTATGTGAGTGAGTTGGTGAGTGAGTTGGTGAGTAGGTGATTGAGTAGGTGAGTGAGTTGGTGAGTGAGTGAGTAGGTGAGTGAGTTGGTGAGTAGGTGAGTGAGTGTGTGAGTGAGTGTGTGAGTGAGTAGGTGAGTGAGTAGGTGAGTGAGTAGGTGAGTGAGTAGGTGAGTGAGTTGGTGAGTAGGTGAGTGAGTTGGTGAGTGAGTTGGTGAGTAGGTGAGTGAGTATGTGAGTGAGTTGGTGAGTGAGTTGGTGAGTAGGTGAGTGAGTTGGTGAGTGAGTTGGTGAGTAGGTGAGTGAGTTGGTGAGTGAGTGAGTAGGTGAGTGAGTTGGTGAGTGAGTTGGTGAGTGAGTTGGTGAGTAGGTGAGTGAGTATGTGAGTGAGTTGGTGAGTGAGTTGGTGAGTGAGTTGGTGAGTAGGTGAGTGAGTTGGTGAGTCTCTCTCTGGGTGCAGGACTCGCTGGGCGGCAGTGCACATGCGGTTCTCATCACGAACGTTGCTCCCGAGCTTCCGCACTACTTCAACTCCCTCAACGCCCTCAACTTCGCCGCCAAGTCCAGGAGCATCGTCAATCGTCCCTTCACTCACTCAGCACCGCAGCCTGCCGGTGAGTGGCACTCGCTCACTCACCCGCTCATTCACCCGCTCGTTCACCCGCTCGCTCGCAAAATAGCTCGCTCGCTCACCCACCCACGCACTCACTCACTCACCCACTCGCTCACCCACTCACTCACCCACCCCACTCACCCACCCACTCACTCACCCACTCTCTCACCCACTCACTCACTCACTTACCCACCCACTCACTCACCCACTCACTCACCCACTCACTCACTCACTCACCCACTCACTCACCCACCCACTCACCCACTCACTCACCCACTCACTCACTCACTTACCCACCCACTCACTCACTCACTCACCCACTCACTCACCCACTCACTCACCCACTCACTCTCCCACTCACTCACCCACTCACCCACCCACTCACTCACCCACTCACTCACCCACTCACTCACTCACTTACCCACCCACTCACTCACCCACTCACCCACTCACTCACCCACTCACTCTCCCACTCACCCACCCAAGCACTCACTCACTCACCCACTCGCTCACCCACTCACTCACCCACCCCACTCACCCACCCACTACCTCACTCACTCGCTCACTCACTCTCTCACCCACTCTACCACTAGCTAGCTCACTCACTTGCTCACCCACTCACTCACTCAACCACATTCACTCACCCACCCACTCACCCACCCCACTCACCCACCCACTCCCTCACTCACCCACCCACTCACCCACCCACTCACCCACCCACTCACTCACCTACCCACTCACTCACCTACCCACTCCCTCACCCACCCACTCACCCACCCACTCACCCACCCACCCACTCACTCACCCACCCACCCACTCCCTCACCCACCCACTCACCCACCCACCCACCCACTCACTCACTCACCCACTCACTCACCCACTCACTCCCTCACTCACCCACCCACTCACCCACCCACTCACTCACCTACCCACTCACTCACCTACCCACTCCCTCACCCACCCACCCACTCACCCACCCACCCACTCCCTCACCCACTCACTCACCCACTCACTCACCCACTCACTCACCCACTCACTCACCCACTCACTCACCCACTCACTCTCCCACTCACTCACCGACTCACTCACCCACTCACTCACCCACTCACTCACCCACTCACTCACCCACTCACTCACCCACTCACTCTCCCACTCACTCACCGACTCACTCACCCACTCACGCACTTACTCACTCACTCGCCCACTCACACCCTCAACTTCCCTGAGAGAGAGGGGGAGACACCTGGACCCCGAGTTGAACCCAGGCTCTTAGCGTCTCCGACACGGCCATTACGAACCCCATCCAGCCCCCGCAGCCCCCTCAAAGCGTGGCCCTGTGGAGGAGGAGACGCGGAGAGACGCGGAGAGACGCAGAGACGCGGAGCCGGAACCACCCCGACCCCAAGCCTTCTTACT